GATCAAGTTCACCATAAGAGTAACAAAGATATTTGCCATGATTTACTAATGGTTTAGTAAATATGATTACACTTACAAGATTAAGTGTAATTCTGAATTGATTAAAGGGTTTAGATCAATAGTAGAACGAACAAGAAGAATCAAGTAGGAAGAAAGATAAAAGTTTCTCCATTCTAAGAAGAAGGGAGAGTAGCTTTTATGCTTTATAATGGGTCTTAATGATTAAGAACCATGTCTCAATTGATCCTCTAAGTAAGTCTTAGTACAATTGTATGTTTAAGAAGAGAATCAAGGATTGAAGAAATGGTTAAATCAAGAAGTCTATCATACTTCGTTCCAATAACAAGTCTTAAAGTTAAGATTATGGCAATGAGTGAAAAGTATTAAAGGTTTATAACATTCATAAAATGTGGAAAGTTGTGATGTCTTGAATAAGACAAAGACCAACTTGGACCAATTTATGAAGTGTTTTGATACAAGCTACACTAACTCTTGAATATTTGGTTGTCAACAAATGTTTATTGACAAGAGAATCTTATATGTCAAGGAGTCAGTGGGATTCTTAATGGTCTTGAAAAGTTTCAAGAACAAATCAAATAAACCTTATCGATCATCACTAGCACACGAGTTGAGTTTTACAACCTATCGTGTTGACGATATTTTGATTCTGTGCTGTTCCAATTGAGTTAATTATGCATGTGAGTCCTATGAGTACTCATTTTGAACGCATAAAAGGCAAAGCACCTTGATCAATGAAAGGTACATTGATAGGAAAAGGGTGAGATGCTTAACTACTTGGAAGACGTGGTGGGCAGCTGTGCTACCATAAGGCAAGAAATCAAGATTAAAAAAGGCTCGGTCCATATGAGTTTGAATTTGTCGTAAACTTTGGTTTTAACAAATTCACATGGATAGGAACAAATACACCATTTAAATCTAAGTGTCATAAGATTTCCTCCTTCATGAAAATGATTGTGAGGAAATGCTTTCACTAAGAAAGATTTTAAGAAGATAGTGATTGTAAAATTGCATTCTCGAATTCGATCATGGTTACGGTATCCCTTTCCATAATTTGAATTGTGAGGTTTGGCAATTAGTCTTAATTGTTGAGACACACATATGAACTATCTAAAGGCAAAGGTGTATAAGTTCAAGAAGCCTTGATAAAAGATTATCAAAGCACTAAGTATTAGAAACATGGACTTAAGAAATTCAATAGGTATTGTCTCTCTGAAAGTTAAGATGTTTATGAATACATGTCGAAGCTAGTGGGAGCATAAGTGTTATGTTTTATAGTAATCATCATGATAGTGGGAGCATAAAAGTTATGATTGTATGATTATTATAGAAAGTATTGCAAGTTGGCAATATTAATTATAGAAAAACAAGAGTTATACCTTGCAAAGTCGTAAGGGTTGTAAAGTTGTTTTGCTATAATTAAGGGAGAGAATATTATGCTTCATTTCAAATCTAAAGGATTAGGTTGAGAAATGTTGATAAATTTAGTCAAAGGTACATAGTGTGTTCTTAAAATTTCGATTATGATTACGGCATTCCTCTTCACAATTCGAATTTTGAGAACATAGCAAATAAAACATTATGCGTCGTGTCCCATACGCTTCGGGTATAGGATCGATTGCAAATGCTTTAATGTTTGACCATTCTAAAATTTTCCAAATGTCTAGCGCATTTAGAGGGAAAAGGGACTAGAATTGGTTTTGACTAAAATAATTAAACAACTATCAAAGGACAATCCAAAGTTCGACGAGGATTGGTCGCTTGTGAGTAGTTGGAAGTATAGTATTGGAAAATATGGAAATGTTTCCATATTGGATGGACCATATCGACATCATTACAAATAGAAAAGATTCTATTAAGAATGAGTTGTCATGAGGAAAATATGGAAGCGTGTTCATATTAGGAAGTAAATATTGAAAATCTATGTCTAGATTAGAAACTTTTATGCAAAAGGATGTTCAAAGGAATGTACTTTGAGTGAGAGACATCATATCTAAGGAATTGTCTTGTAACAATCTACGTTAGAGGACTTTGTAATATCATTGGCAATAGTCTTTGAGACTTTGGTGCAGTGACATTACAAAAGGATCGTTGCATAAAGTGTTAGAATCTAGTATATTCTATAAGTAACAAGAATTTGATATTCTTACACTTAAGAAAATGGATTTGGAGTTGTAAAATGAGAATGATTGGAAATGTGTTCAATTTGTCTATTTCACAAAAGTAAGAACCATAGGTAAACATTGTGTGCATGCTAGGAGCATGGGACAAGTGTAATAATTCAAGTAAGAAGTTGATTACCCGAAATGACAAATAATGAGTAATCGATATGGTGATAAATAAAACGTGTTTTATTTATGCTCAAAGGGTTGAGGCCATATGGGATTAGTATTATTCTTGTGTTTCACTTTGCATGTTTTGACTTCCAGAATAATTGAGTTTATTAAGAATAATCGAATTATTCAAACGGGCCACAGTCGTTCATGTGTTGGAAGTAGATATGAATGAAGACTGTCGTGAATTGGTGTGTGGATTGTCTAAAAGAGTATTAGACATAAGCAAATGTTTGCTGCAACATTCATGAGTGCTTATGAATATGAATTTGAGCATTGGATTAAACCCACGCTCACTTGGATCACTTTCATGAATTGTATCACGAGTGATTGGTGAGACGATAACATCTTATATTCTTGAAACCGAGATGTGTGAGTTGTATCTTGCTAATCGGTTGCACATTGATAATATGAAAACTCACTAGTAACTTGGTGTTATAAAACATATTGTTGTGTGTGATTTGGTTAGTGAGTGCAAGCAAGCATTGTATCAAAGTTTATCCGTTCCTTTTATCCAAAGAAGGATAAAAGCATATCTTTGGGCCCTCGATGGTTTAGTGATGACAAACGTAAATGCTCGGCGGGCTAGGGCTAATTTGATTTGTTCAATTAGTCTGTCGTCATAAATCGGAAATCGAGAAGTAGTACAAAGAGAATGATTTAAAATCATATCTCATACGATATCTAGAATGGAGGAATATATGATCCCTTATCTAAGGACACGCGTATCTGATAGGATCAGAGTTGACAGCGGCTTTGGAAAGCTACGATTGCAGATCAGGATCTGAAGTCATACGCAGAATAGTTATTAGACTTATCCAAGTGGGAGACTGTTGGATTAGTGTCTAAGTCCATAACTATTTTGGTATGTACTTGACCCGATGGTGCATGGTCCTTTTGGGTTGCCTTCACCAAAGCAACTTGATTGGAGAAATAAATAAGAGAGAGAGGTTATTATGATTTATTAATATGTTATAAGAATAATATATTAAAGGAGAAATCATATTTGCTTAATTAATATTGGTCAATAATTAATTAGGAATTAATTTTGTGATCAAGTGTAATTAATTAAACTAGAGGGGCTGAATTGTAATTATGTGATAGTTACAAAATATGGTAATGGTTATCCTAAATATGGGTTGAACGAATTCAAGGAGATAAGGATCCTTGAAATCGTCCAAAGGATAAAGGATAAGGGTTTTCAAGGCTTATCTTATGGTTGCTTTGTGGATAAGCAACTAGATAAGGATAATGACTGAAACCCTATCTCTACACCTATATAAAGACCCTAAGGCCTTAGAATTCGTGTACTTGTTCCCAAGGAGTCCTAAGGACGAATTCTAACCTCTCTCCTCTCTCTTTATACCTTCTCCATTTGCTCTTGGTGTTTGTAAGCCATTAGAGGAGTGACACTTGTGACTCTAAGCATTCCAAAGTCAATTCAAGGTGGAATTAGGATTGTTATTGCTATATAACAATCAAGGTATGTTCTTAAACCCATTCATATATTAATATCGATTTCATATACTAGAATTAGGGTTTATAGTCTTGGATTCAAAGCATGTACAATAGAGAAACCTAGATCCAAGCATTAGGTTTTGTATGAGCACATAGGATGTCTTATGACCAAAACCCATCAATATGGGTCATTGGTCAACATGGTAGTTGCTTATGGTGTCCATTGATGATATATAGGTCATTGGTCAATATATGGTAGTTGCTTATGGTGTCCATGGATGACATATGAGTCATTTGTGAACATATGGTTGTTGCTTATGATGACCATGGATGACATATGGGTCATTGGTCAACATGGTAGTTGCTTATGGTGTCCATGGATGATATATGGATCATTGTTGTGACGGTAAAATCTGGTAGTTGCTAGATTAAGAAGGCATATATCATTTGTGCCGGTTGTGTATTAAAATAGAAATTGATTTTTCTTTTAATTATGACTTTTGACAAAACTACCCTTACTAATTAAATATGAGTCATTTTATAATGGAGCATCTTCTAGGCGCCATAATGTTTTTCAATGAAACATGTTGTTTCAGTTCTTCGGTCTTATTTTAGTCACTTGCAAACAACCCCAATTTCAAAATCTGACAATCAAAATCCCTAAAATCATTTTCGTAGAATTGTTATCTTAGTGAAGGTTTATTATTATGGAAGTCAGTACTTCTTCGAAGATGCAATCAAGAAATCAAAGGAAATCGCTAACAGACATGCCATTGGAAGTGATGGAGAAAATAATAGTCGACTTGAAAAAAAATTCAGCAGTCGAGGCTTTCAGGATGAAGAGTGTGTAAGTTTTGCCTTCGATCATTCTATTTCACAAGTGTATTTGAGTTGTCTTTACATTTTGGAGCGAATATTGTGTTTCGTTTGCAGTTGCAGATTCTTCAACGAGGCAGGAAAACGGATGAAGTATATAAAAATATGGAGTTAGATAGATTACAATTCCGTGGTTGGTCTGACCAGAAACATACAACTGTTAACAAATGCATAGAGATGTGAAACCCAAATATTCTGTTCAGGAATGGATTGGTACATTGTTATATATATATATATATATGCATAATATTAATTAATTTGTTTCTTGTTTTGCATTACTTTAACTATAAATTATGTGTTTAATGTTTTTTTCACATGAAGTTATTTTTCTTAGAAGCTGATCATGAAGGGAAAACAATGCTTGAAGAAGCATCTGCATTAGGACATTTGGATTCAACATTTGTCCTAGGAATGATGTTGATGGCTGAAGGGAGACATAGGAAGCAGGAAGCTTTGGAAATGTTGAACAATGCTTACCGCAGAGAAAAGGGTAAGTGGAATCTTAGAGCAACTTGTTATAAGGTTCATCTCCACTTAAATAGGGATGGGAGGAAACATGTACACTTCCATGGTTTCCATAGAACTTGTGCTATGCATAAGTCTGTGATTAGTGTGCCAGAAGCTTTTGTGAATGGATACAAATAGGTGTTTAGGTGTGAAACTTGATTGTGGGATGCTTGTTTCATTGGGTTTTCTAGGGAGTTTCGTATAATTTATGAGTAGTTTGTTGATATGTACTTTCATATTATGACAATCAATGCCATGCACATTCTTTTGGTTTAATGTACGAATATATAGTAATTTACTTGATAAGTAATTACTTGATGAGTAAATATGTTGTGTTGTTAATAAGGGACTAAAAGAGTATAAGTTTGGAAATATCTCTAAATGATGTTTGAATAATATTTGAATAATGTGTTTTGGACTTTCAATATTAGTGTTTATATTATATTGTGGTTATAGTTGTATGTAGAAAATGTTTGTTCTTTCCTAGTATTAAATACATATAAAATACAATAAAACAAACAAAATACATTACCAATTCAAAAAAATATCATTCATACCATTTCTTACCAATTTGGTTTAATATCAATACATGAATACATGTAATTTGATTAAATGCTAATATGTATTAATTTGTAGATTGGTTTAATATCAATATATAAATGTATTTTATGTTGGATTTGGTAATTTGGTTTAATATCATCTAGTAGTGAACCCATGCTATGCATGAAGTAATATTGTGAAGGCATACACATAGGGACTAAAAGTTGCAACAAAGGAAAACTATTGTGCCTAAAATCAAAGTAAAAAAAGTTACTATAAACATAGGGATTAAAAATGGCAATAAAAGAAAACTATTGTGTTTGAAATCTAAAATAAAAACGTTTACTGTTAAAATTTTGTTCCACTTTTAATATATATATATATATATATATATATATGAATATATACTAGTAATTTGGTGAAATGTTAATATAAAAGTGTTACAATATGGATTATGATATATATGTTTGTTTTTTTTTTTTTTTTCATTTCAACTATCAAAAATCCACTGTTACCTAGCTATAAAATGTTATAACATTTAAATAATGTGTTTTGACACAATAGCCTTAGTATTCACATATATGGAATGATTTCAAGTGCAATTTGGTCTTGTTGCACACTAAATCGTTAAGGCGCCATCATACCTATGACGGTCACACTGATGTTTCAATTCTTCAACCATTCAGAACATCTCAACTTTTCCGGATGATAAATCTTCATACAAACACTAAAACCCCCAAATTGTCGAAGGATCATCGTTCTTAAAATTGATTTTCTCCGATAATAGAAACTCATGTACTCCTCGCGACTAGAACATCATAAAGTAAGTTTTTTTCATACACTATTACATTGTTTTTCATAGTTACGCTTAATTTTGTTTAAAAAAATTGAAATCAACTACTCTAATGTGTATTTTGTAAGTAGAATGTAGAATACTAGAAGTCGTCATTCGTTAGATGATCTCCCATTAGAGATTTTAAGTCGGATATTTGTAGTATTAGGGGCAAAATCTGCGAAAAACATCGTCTCTGCAAGACTTTGGTAATTCTCAGTTAACATCAACTAATGAATGTATATTTGATGAAATACAACTTTATTTATTTGTTATTTACTGTGTATTTAAAAATTTGAAGTTCAAAGATGATGTATGAAGCGGGGGTGATCCTCAAGTGTACAGAACAACATGCATTAACATGTTTGAAGGAATGAGTCCCAATAATCTGAAAGGTGATTTATTTATACGCACATGTGCATTGCATAATAACATTGAATCCATGTTCAGACAAGGAATTGTATGTGTAGTTTCAGTAATTATATGTAAACTATACTATTTATTAATATTTAGTATCATTGATGTTATATATTGATATTGTTATTCTGTCAACATGATATTTTATTATGGCAATTTTGACTTAGGATTGACTTTGTTGAGACAAGCAGCACATGAAGATCATCTTGAGGCAATTTATTTGCTTGGAATGATCTACATTTCAAGAGGGCCTCATCAATGTGATGAAGGTATGTATGATATATATGTAAATTGAATTTTATATATAGGTAATTAATGCGTGTTTGTTGTTTGGGGTTAGTATTTAGTTGTGTTGTGTTGTATAATATTTACTCATGTGTTGAAAAGGATACATTGGATTAATTGATGGTTATTTTAATGTGTATGTTTACAATTACTTGATGCATATTTTGGTTGGATAGTTTCAGATGATGGGGAGTACACGGGTGTTGTTGATAGTGCTAAAGAGTTGTTGCAAGTTGTTGTTGTTGTTCATAGACTTACAACGAATAACATCACTTTCCAATGTGAACACCCACATCATTCTGTTAAAGGGGCATTTGGGATAGGCCATGAAGAGGATAAGGATCAACAAAGATATTGCATGGTTTGTCATTGGTATGTAGAGTATGGTAGGTTTTGTATATTTCTTAAAAATATAAATGGTTGATAATAGATTAGACTTTGAATATTAGTGTTCATATTGTATTGTATATGAAGTTGTATATAATTTTATTTTGGGTTTAAGTTTACGTCATTATGTTAAAAGGGTATTTTAGTCATTTTTTCTTGCTATGTTGTTTGAGTAGGATAAAGTATAGTTAAAACCCATGATATTTTGGTAATAAAGTATAGTTAAGTGTTTTACCATTTTTCATATAGGTACGTAAGATCCGGATAAACAACAAGTATATATCTGACCTTTCCAAAATGTCATTCAACAAAGTGAAATTATATAATCTATACTTTGTCAATGGTTACAAGTATATACTCATTATCAACGTTGCTATGGAATATAATATCATAACAAATGCAGTCACAAATTAGCTAGACTTTTTGTTCCATAGCAAAACAAGCAAACGAAATCAAATTCCATAGCAGAATTCCCTAGAAAATACCTACGAATGGTACTTCCATAGAAAATCAACTATGGAATTGGTTTCTGTCACAAACTCCGTTGCATAGTAACCATGATATTTAATTCCATAGCAGCAGTACAACAGAAAGTAATTTCATAACAAATGTCGTTGGAAATTGCTACAAAATTTTGTTCCATAAAAATATCAGTAGCATAATACCAACAAATATGGAGTCGGTAGCCTTTTTCCTATCAAGTCCCATTCTCGCTACCAGAAATAAAATCCATAGAAAATGTGGTAGCAACATTGCTATGGAACAACATTCCATAGCACGATCCATTGCAGATTAACAACGAAATACGTTCCATAGCGACCGTCCCAAGCAAAATCATGTTTTTCTTGTAGTGCGACCACAACATGTTAGCATGTCAACATGACATGTTAGCTGAGGTTTTCCCAACTGTTTGGATGCTGGCGGAACATGGTGTGGCCAAGGGGAACACGACGTATTGAGTCAACATGGACTGTTGACCTTGACCTTTGACTTTGACCAAGTTGGACCTTGAGGGTATTTTGGTATCTTGATGGAATTGGTCACTTGGTGGAAATAGGTATCGGTTAGACCTGAGATTCGAAGTCGGACCTCATCAGTTCTGTTTAGTTTGCGAGGTGGGTTTTCCTCACTGTACTTACGGGTTGAAGTTACCAAGACTGGCTCATTGGTTTTGATAACTTGATATTTTTTGAAATGATGAGTACGAAATAGATATGCATGCTAGTTTTGATATGCTAGTCTGGTAGATCGGCAAGACTACCTATGATACTATATATAGTATTATCTTGTAACGACCATAAAATTCGAGTCAAATTAAAACATTTTAATTCATTTAAAAACCATTAAGTTCATACATTAGTTTTTCAAAATAGTTTAAACATCAGAGTATTCCCTAGAACCATATCACATAAATCATAAAACATGAGGATCGGTACGATCATGCCTTCGCCTTGCCTCGGTCTCCTGAAGTACTTGAAACAAAACACTGAACTATAAGATCGAAAGCTTAGTGAGTTACCCCTAAAATACCAACCACACATAAACATACTCATAACATAGCACAAATAGAACAACCATGCACATCGGGTCTACTATGGGACTGATCCGCTGCAATGGGCCTTCAGTCCACCTGGTCCACCCTCTGAGTCTAGCCATGTATATCGAGTCTACAGTGTGATTGGTTCGTCTGCATCGGGCCTTCAATCCACCTGGTCAATCTCTAAGTCTACAGTATGACTGGTCCGCCCGCACCGGGCCTTCAGTCAGCCTGGTCCACTCTTTGAGCCTCGGCACGTCTGGTCCGCCCTCTTGGGGCCTTCAACCTATCTGGACCGCTCGCTAGGCCTGCAGAATATCCGGTCCGCCCTGGATATGTTGGCCTACAGCACCAAGCAGAAGCCGCTTGCACCCAAACCCCCATCAAACAACCATGTGCACATAAAACAATTAATCACATAACAAATCCTTAACCAGACAATAGTCTATTAGATCACATAGCATATAGACATTCTAACCAGGATTCCGACCAAACCGGTCACTAGCATAACATTACCCTATATACCGAGTATCGACCTTAACCAAGTCACTAACATAACACCATCCTAAATACCAGTATGCAGATCTAGCAAAGCAATAACATAGCAAACAATACCCGGATTTCCATCCGATAAAGGGCTGGCCTTGGTGCCGTAGACCCTATCGATATAGTGAGGATAACTCACCTGCAATTGCCGACTGAAGAGATAGTACCAAGTTGCTCCGACCACCGACACGAACCTCACCACAAAATACTACCAAAGAACCAATTCCATAAATACCAAAATACCCTTGGGAGTCAAACTGGTCAACTCTTGGTCAAAGTCAATGTCCTCAGTTAAAGTCAACCTTCCTGGTTGACTGTACTCGCCGAGTTCCCATACCCAAAAAACTCTCATTACACAACTTAACTCGCCGATTCGAACGATCTCTAAGTCCCATAGTGTCCGACTCACTAAGTCGCCAACCGAATCACTTAATCCAAGGCTTTAACCAAAAAAGGTTAGGTTCTGCGACCAGACTCGCCAAGTTCAAGGAAATCTTCAACAGACTCGTCGAGTTGTTCTTCCAACTCGCCGAGTCAATGCTTATGTTCATACAACTCATCGAGTACACCTATGTGACTTGCTGAGTCCCTCCA